ACTATGATATATAAAATGCCTTGCTTTTACCAGCACCTGCTTCAGTATTTGTTTTAAGGCGTTGCTATTGTCAGTACATTATTTAATGACAAACTAGTTTTCCCAACAGACATCCTGTTACTTGACTAAAAAAAAAAATCCAATGTCGAATCGATGTCCTTTTCTATCAGATTCGATATTACAGCGATTCAGATGGTTTTGAAATGGGACAGCGTTTAAACTACAAGAAAAAGAATGAAAAATGCAGGAATAGGATTTCGCATTTAATTCCGCCGCGCGTATACGTTGAGAAAAATTTCTAGCAATGTTCAAACTGACAAGTCAAAAAATCACTGTGTGTAAGAGATAAGTTCGTTCAATTAAATTTCATCCGCACACACTGAGGTTTTCTTTCTTTGCGAAGAAGTAAAACTAGTGCTCGAATGACCTTCCTCGCCGTGTGATTTCCCTTGATTTCGATGGTTAGGTCGAGACAAAATATTCAAAACCAAAGTGCAAATTTTGGCTTATCCCACCTTCAAAATCATTTTTTCAATGCCCCTAAACCCCCTTGAACAACGCCTTGTAGTTGCACATCAAAAGCGCCGTTCACAACTGCCTTCATTTAGCAACACTGTTTGTCCAAAGCAGGTAATTCATCGTCAATATTATCTTACTGTTGAGCACAGATCGACGCATTAATTGCAAACTCTGACTAATGTCTTCACCCTGTGTACACAGAAAGAACTAGAAGGAAAAGACTTTCTATCTAATAAATGTAAATGAAATCAATCGCTAACTTAGACAGATCTATGTAATGTGAACCGAATATAAATTCAAACTTTCAATGGCCGGGAAACACTCTCTAGCTCTCATTTATGGAATCATTCCGATAAATAATTAATCACTCAGGGTGTTGCGTGATTCATATSTAAATACCCAATCATCTGAAGATTGGCATGATTGACATGTAAACAGCCAATCATCTGTGATATWCTCGTGATTGACGGGTAAACAACCAATCATCTGTCTTATTCTCGTGATTGACGGATAAACAGCCAATCATCTGTGWTATTCTCGTGATTGACAGGTAAACAGCCAATCATATTGTTATTTATTGTTCTGTGCAATTCTTTCAGGGAATCAACGCGAGYAAAAATGGCGATTTCCACAGCAGCTCAGATCGGAATCACCACAGCGTTTGTCGTTATGATCGTCACCAACTTGATTGGAAATTCTTTAGTTGTTTTGACGGTTGTGAAAACGCGTTCCATGAGAACAACAATGAACTATTTACTGGTGAACCTGGCCATTGCAGACATGATGGTGGGAATATTCATAGCACCAAGGTAAGTGGTTATCAAAAATAGGCCCTGTCGCCTGCCGATGGCATGGTGGTCTTTTCATATTTTCCTTATACAAGGTTAACATACAGGACTTTTGTAGTGTAGTCCAGCACAAAATATTACAAGAGAAACGAATTCAAAAGTGAAACTTGTCAGTTTACTATAATTTTTTGGCCACCGTACATAACATTCCACAGTTTTTATCGTCTCTTTCTGAATTGGAGAGTTTCAATTTGATATGTCTTCCTGTTTGCACTAAGTGTACATACACTACATAACAGACTTTAGTATAAACATATTAATGGTCTATCACTCATACTGCGCTGTGATTGGCTACTCTACTAATGGTCTAATTTGTGATAGACCACTCGCGGGAAAATCAATCTCATTGATAAATTATTTTAAGGATATTTCAATTTGTTTTCATTATTTGACCGAGTATGTTTATACTAAAACAATTAGACCTCTCGGCCTCGTGGACTACGAGCTAATAGCCCATTCGGCCTCGCGGACTCGGCCTCTTGGGCTATTAGCTCGTAGTCCACTCGACCTCGAGGTCTAATTGTTAATTGTTTCATTGCAGGTACATTTTCAGTCATGCCTACACCCACCCTGGAGGTACAGTCGGAAACTACGTATGTAAATTACTGACTGGTGAGGTGTTCACGTGGGTGGGTGCCCTGTGTTCAGTCTACACCCTCGTTGCCATCTCCATCGAGCGATACTACGCCGTCATGAAACCACACAGTAGTAAAGCACGGTTTACAATGAACAAGTTCAAACTCACTGCTGCAGCATGCTGGGTCTTCGCGACCTTGTGGAATCTTCCTCTGTTTCTTTTCTCATATTTTGACGAGAAGAACAAGTTTTGTAACTTTGCGTGGCCGTTCAAGGATTTCACCAAGTATCACAGTGTTATTAACGCGTTTGTATTCGGAGG